GAGGCTTCACGAAGGGACATGAATTTTCTAGAAGCTCATGACGTGTTACTAGCGTCATATGACTTCCGTTGTCGTAACAATATAATACATCATATATCTCAGTGTTATTAATATCAATAAAGAAATTAGGGAAATGAACAAGAAAAAGAAAAACCGAATTCCTTTATATACTGAAATTAATAACACTTGAACGACACCTGAAAGACCTTGAGTTGGTTTTCTACAAGCTTCATACAACCAATCTTACTATAAAAAATTCTAAAAGCAAATTTTGCCAACCAGAAGTACCATATTTAGGATTTAAGCATAATTCTGTGGGAGTACATACAAATGATGACAAAGTGAAACCTGTTAAAACTTCCAAACACCAAAGAACTTCAAATTCAGACCAGTTATTCCCAAAACATTAAGAGTAATGTTGTTCATAGAATTGCATGATCATCCTATGGTTGGTCAAGGTATCCAGACATTGTTATTGGCCTGGTATGTGGGCATGGTATAATCAGTTCATTTCACACTTTGCCTCAATTGTTGGACCTTTATACCAGTTATGAAGGAAATGTATTAGGTGGAAATGGACTCTCCAGTGTGAAGATGCATTCCAGAAAATACAGCACTCTTTATGAGAATTATCTGCCTTGTAACTTCCAAAAAAATATGAACACCATTTTTTGCATACAGATGCTTCAAATGTTGGATTAGGAGCAGTTCTAAATCAGAATGGTGTCATAGCACATGCTAGTAGAACACTGAACTGTGCAGAAAGAAATTATACTACTACAGAGTTACTATGTCTAGCCATAGTCTGGGTTGTAGAAAAGTTTAAAATATACCTAAATGAAAAAGAATTTACAGTAATCACTGACCATGCTGCTTTGATATGGTTACAAACAGCTCAGAAATTATCTTGTAGACTGATGTGCTGGTCATTAACATTGCAAGGCTTAACATTTAAAATACTCCACAGAAAAGGAAAAGAGAACCTGATACCATATCTAAATATCCTAGTAATCACCCAGAAGAAACCCTAGATTTGGATGTTAGTAAATTATCACCTAAACTTTTTGTCATTATCAACGTTAGCACTAGAGAACATTTGGCTACTGAACAAGCTAAAGATGATAGGTATGAGCACATTTACTTAAAAACTGGACAGTTATTAGATGATTCTGCTATATTTACAGAGACTGTAAATAATTCAGAACACTATGTCTTGAATGACATTGTTCTTTATTACACAAAAAGAGTTACTAGCAGTGGCAAATTCAGACCAGTTATTCCAAAAACATTAAAACCAATGTTGTTAAAAGAATTGTGTGATCATCCTATGGCTGGTCAAGATATCCTGGTATGAGACAGAAAATTAAAATTATGTGTTATCATGCCATATTTGTCAAACCACCAAATTTAACCAGAAATGGCCAGCAGGATATACGCAAAGCACTAAACTATTGGAACCTGGTGAGATAACAGGAGTAGACATCATGGGACCTTATCCTAAATCCAGTACAGGGAATAGTTATTTGTTGGTTGTGACAGATTATTTCAGTAAATAGGTCGACTTATTTACTCTCAAACAAATAACTGCTAAGGTGATTGTCAAAAACTAATTAATGAATACTTGTGTTGGTATAGTATTCCAAAAAATTTGTATCAGATAATGAATCACAATTTGTATCTCATTTGATGAATGAAACATGTAAAACTATGGGAATTAAACATATATTTGCAATTCCATATCATCCTCAGTCTAATATTATTGAAAGAGTAAATAGAAATATAGATAACATGATATTTGGTACAATGAAAAAAATCACTGAACTTGGGAAAATCATTTACGTGAATTTTTTTTGCAATTAAAAGTTCTTTTCATAAATCTACAGATTATATGCCAGCCAAACTCCATCTGGGAAAAGAGATTTTTCTTCTTTGGGATCAAATGATGAAACACCAAACAGCACTTCAAACCGTGAATGAGTAGACAAGAGAATTGCAAAATGTCATACAAAAAAAGAAAAGAAAAAAAGCAAGATCCAATGCTGAAAAGTGATAGTGGCAAGCATACAACCATAAAAGACACCTAGATACTTTTAAAGTAGGTGACTTAGTATTATTGATGATACATCTGTTATCTTCTACAGCAAATAATTTCACTGTACAATTTGCTTCGAGGTTGAATGGACCCTTTGAAGTTACTAAGTATTCCATTAGTGTATGAATTAAAAGATCCTGGATTAATTGGAACTACAGGATGGTTTCATGTTTCTAATATAAAGAGATGCATATATTTCCCCAGTGAAATTTGTCTGGACACTGGAGAAAATGTAAATCATTCTAGGCAGTTTCAGCAAAACAGGAATGTCAACTAGAGAAAACTTAGAAGTCTTCCCCCCAAAAGACTTCTGCTGTTGTGTCCATTTATCATCCTTCAATGGATCCTGCTAATGCGTTAAACTACTTCTCCTGCTCAACCTACTTCAAAGGAAATTGCAGAATTGATTACTGCAGTTTAACTGGTCTTCAAACTGTTAACAAATTAATGCTAATTATTGTTCAATATATTTATTAGTCTTGAGAGGTGGTTTAATTTTGGAATATTGTGTTTTTATCAGAATTAGGTTATTTTTCCTCTTCTGGTTCTTTTTCTTAATTCCTTCATTTATTGAAATAACAACATTGAGATTTATGTTGTATTGTTTATTAACATTTGTACCTAGTCCTGGCCAGGAACCCGTTTACTAACTGTTTTTTTTAAGTGATTAACATTTGTAGTTGTTTGACCCAGGTTGTAGCAATATTTTAATCATTAGAGGGTATTTTGAAGCTAATGATAATGGATAAATGTTATGCTAACAGTAAATGATGAATTAATATGTGGTATCTTAAAACAATGTTATTTTACATTGTGATCTTATTTACAGTGTGCTTTGCACAAACCAAAACATAACTATAATAAATTTATTTTCTGTGATGCAGCTATGGATAAAATTGTCAGTTTACAAATATTTTGAGAATAAATCTTTTGGTGTAATGATTTAGTTTCTTACGAGTATATGGAAAAGACAACTAACTAAAGATCATAGAGTTGGACAGCTAGAAACAACATTTAACTAGCCATACAATATATACTCAATGAGTTTTTTAGGAAATAATAGTCAGTGACTAAATCAACTTTTTTCTGTTAATATGCTTGTTAAATTTTCTAATGAAAAATAAAACAATTATGGCATTAATAAAGGAAGTTATTAATATTCTTAGGATATAGAAATCAAAACTCACTGTATTGGCATATCCAAGATAAATAATTAAGGCCACAAGTTACATCATTCCATAGCCATTTCCTCTCTCCATCTAATACCACACAATTCTGTTGACTATTGTAGTTGTTAGGCTGGTCAGAAGCCCATAAATATTCTACCACATGATCATCTATAAATAAAAAAAAGTTGTATATTAACTTATTTTGAGCTATGAAAGCATCAATCTAATTATTACAGTAAGTTATCGTAAGTATTGCTTTGTTTGTTGTTAACTGTAAAGCTACCCAATGGGATATCTGTTCTCTGCCCACCATGAATATTGAAACCAGATTTTTAGCATTATATTCCTGCAGTCTTACTGCTGAACCAAAGGGGGTATAAACTATTGGAAGCATATACATAATCATTACAAGGGCTTATCCCTACTGAAATTTCCTATGAATCCCATAGAGAATTGCTGTGTAGGAATTATTAAGGTCACCATATACTACAGATAGCCAATTGAAGTCAAGATGCCAGAAGAAAAGGAGCTCATAAGCTTTCAAAAAAAAATCATTATTAGATCTTGATGCAGCATTGATGGTATGTGTCAAACATGTCAAGTTGTCACTCATACCCAACCCCAAAGTAATCTGTTGAAGAAAAAGAAGGAGAAATTTATTTTATTTATACTAAATGTCAACCTGACCACCCAAAATTAATCAAATTCTGGTACACGTAAACTCTGAAACCTAATGTAAAATAAAATTGCACATCTAGGATTAAATCAGTCCCCAGGATTTTAATAACAGTTCAGTTAAAACTATATATTACGACATATATACAACAGGTTGTAGCCTATAAGCCTCTAATCCAAGTTATGAATGTACAGCATTTGGTTTTATAGTGTGGTTTATGACTCAAAACTATAATAAAAAACAATATAAAACTATATTGAGAGGTGATGAATCCCTCTACTTATTACTTACTTTAAATGGAGGTGTAAAGGGTTTGATAATAGCCTGGAAAACATTTTGGATGTGTATTATTCCAGCTGTGAAAAATCATGGGTGGACATATCATGGTATATGCTATTTTTAGTTACTTTTAGACATGATCATCACTGTAGAGATAATTGTCTTGTAATCAACAGTAAGCAAGGTTTCCAAAAGTTACTTTATATTTAAGTAAAAAAATTCTACTTAATTCATGGGTGGAAATATCATGGTGTGTGCTCCTTTTTTGATATTTTATGATGCATGGTAATGGTTAAAAGAGTCATGAATACTTTATTATACAGCAACATTCTAGAATAGCTGTATTGTTTGTATTGATGAAGTTCTATTTCAAATTTGTAAGATAATACTTCTATCAGTAAGTTAGTGCTCCATGTCATACCATGTGCCATGTTTCAGAAAGGATCTTAGATAAATAATGGCCAGAATTTGCCTTAGCCAACAGTGAGTCTCAACCTTTATCTAATTGAACTTATTTGAAAAGTTTCAGAACACAACCCCTTAAACATACCAGAGAATCTGATTTAAATTGGATTTGGGTTGTAAGAAGAGAGATAATTTATTACTACAAATGAAGATACTGTTAATAATAGAAAACAGACTATGACTAAAACCAAAGATAAGGCTTCTCCATTTTGAAACTGTATTTCAGAAAAAAAACAAAAACATACCTCTCTTCAAAGTGTATCTCTTCAACATTTTAATTAATAGCTTGATATAGTAAATGTTGAAACCATATAATTCACAAATTAAAAACTAGAAAGACAGTGGTTGACTAAACAAAGTAGACTATTTTTCATTATGAAGAGTTTATAAATCTGAAATAAAAATGAAATCATCATTTCATGTAAAAATGCTTTAGGCCTTGTATACCATGTTTTTAACAGACCATGTATATGATCTTGAAAAAAATGGTACTGTAATTAAAAATATTAAACAGTCTTAGACATTTTCAGAAACCACTGATTTAACACAAACAATCTTGCATGAATATTGTCTTTTGTTAATGTGATGAATGGAAATATCAATCAGTTTTACTGCTCCATAACTAGTAAAGAATATATTTTCATTTTTCTATGTAAATTTTTCAAAATGTTCATGGATGTGTTATGAAGCACGTAGTTAGAAAAAGACTTCCACAATGGACATGAAAAGGTCATAAACTTACAGTACTCCCTATCTCAGACAATGGTTACATACTACAAGTGTTCGACAGGACTTTTGCTTGCTTGGCATTGTTTTGTGTCATGACCTCCTGAAGTGTGGTTATACTAATTTTAGTTGGTGGTTTTGAGACTGTTAAAAGTTAGTTCACGTTTGTGGTTTAATTATATATAATTATCTCCTTTGAATGTATATAATGAAAATGCACCCTGATGTAGGTAATCTAATAACTGTGAGGCATTGTGCCAGAACCTTGGTACCCTTTAAACTGTGGTGTATTCATTATTATTGAACCCATCTCTGTCCTATGCAGATGTTTTGCTTCTAACCTGTTCAATGCCCCCAGCAACCAGAAGTTAGAACATTGATACAGAAGCTCACCTAAGATGAGTTCAAACAACTTTATTTGCAAATAAAGATTCTGTTGATTTGTTCACTATTGTATATTTGTTGTCCATGTTCATTTGATTTATACCAAAAAGCTCATTCCTAAGTTTAAGAGTTTAATACAGGGTAGGACTTTAGAACCAAGCAAAGCATCTATAAAACCTAAAGATCTAGTATCCTAATGAAATTTCCAATAATCACTTTTCTATTCTATGTATTTTATGATTTATCTAGCAGTAATTTTAATTAAATGCTTCAAAAGGAACATCATTGTAGAGATAACTGTATTGTATTCAACAGTAGTCAAGGTTTTCAAAAGTTCCTTTACATTTGAGTTAACTTAAGTTATGATTTGGAGTTACTACAAAGTAATTCCCTTTGTTTTGTTAACCATTCAATTATTAATATAATTATATTTATATCACATAATTATATGAAGCTATTCTTGCTTTCACCAAGAGAAAAACTCCAAGTTTTCTATCTTCCAACTGATGTTTACAGATCACCATGTCAATTACATATGCTTCAGACTTTGTTCCTATATTGAAACAGTAACAATATAAATAAAAACAAATAATACTTAATTGGTTGTAAGCCTCACCGTTTACCCAATGCCAATTTTCTGATGTCAAACCTGGCTTCCTCTGTGCTCCTAGCCAAACTAATTTGGATTTCAGCTGGTCTTTTAGTCTTTCTAGCTCTCCTGCCAAGAAAGAATGGGAAATATTTCCTACTTGATGAACCATTAAACCACCTCTAGCTCGGCAATATTCATCAGCATCTTGAAATGCCCCACCTTGCTTGATTTGGAATTCATAGCAGGTTTTGTTAAAGGTAACAAGTTCTAGTGGCTCTAGCCGATTAATACATCTCCCTGAGGACAGTTCTAATAAAGACAAGTTTCAATGTAGAATTTTAAAATGTCACTCATAACCAGTTAACTATTGGTAATACTAATTGATATCAGTAAAAAAATGTTTAGTAACAGACTAAGTTTACTATGGCACAAAACACTAGTTTATGTTTAACCAAAATGTATAAGTGTTTCTAAGACATTTTTTATATCCATTTTGCAGCTAACGTTGTCTTTAAATATAAAACAGTTTGTTAACCTTTGAATAATATTTAAGCCATTTCCTTGATTAGCGTTTTAGTACTACAAAATTATATAAACTTGTATTCAGGTATACATATAATTAATAGGAAGGGAATTTTTTAACAGAAGTTACAAGTTTGGCTTGTTTTTTGTTGTTGTTTTTTGGCATAAAAAGTATTGGCTATCAACACCAAATGTTTGTCTTTTATTAAATAAAGAACAATAAAAGTAAATTTAAAAGTAAAAAAGAAATGCATACAAGAAAATATAATACATATAAGCGAATTATAATTTTGAAAAAAGTTTAAAATTAATGGCCTATGGCCTGCAACACAATTGAAAACATGACTGATCTGAACATTGTCAATCTTTCTCAGTGAATATGTCAAAGGTGAAAGGGACACAACACAAATTAAAAAGATGTCTAAAATGGTGCTATCATTCAATTTCACAAATACAACAGGAAAGTAACTTGAACAACTGTGGCTAGTGTGTCATACTGCTCACACATTGGAAGATCATTTCATTTCCTTGTAAGAGTAAATTATACATAATATAGCTTTGGTCAATATGGAGTTGTGCAAATACAACATCCTCCCTCTGATTATTGCATAAACTAGACAATCAAACAGCAATAGCAGGTTTTATCTGGAAAAACGAATTGTGCACTCTTCATCCCAAGTCACTTGCTAACTGGCATGATCATGCCTTGATGACAGGGTTGAAATCCAAGTATGGAATGGACAAAGGTGTTATATTGCTAGTGGAAGCCAATTCAGTTGTAGGATCAGAAAGCTCATTCCCTCTCGTTATTACATGGTCAAGACTCCAGAAAAGATGTAAAGAGACAGATCTCAGAAAAAAAGGTCAGTCTATAATTTCTGAATGTCCAAGAGAAGTGGATGAGAATTGAAGTTAAGCAATTAGAGGGCTTTCAAAGAGTTAAGTAGGTCAATATAATTGAACAGTTACCATACTGTATTATTTCTACATAATCCAGAGCAGATGAAATTGCATACAATTCAGCAGTGGACAAAGAGCTGTAGCAAACCATGGAAGAGTCCACAGTTTTACCTGATTTTGAGCCATCACAGAAACAGGAATGAAAAGATGACTCAAAAGTTTTTGTTAAAGAGAAGTAGGTATTTCGAATATTCCCTGGAATCAATCACAAATATATTTCCATCCAAATGCATTAAATTTCATCTAACTTATTCAACTAGTGAATTTTTTTATAATTCAAACTGTGTCAAATGTTTTTTCAACTTACTTGTTACCCTGTGCTTGTTGAGCAGGATATGCCACAAGAGAGCTTGTTTCTATTCTCGAAAATAGAAAGCATTCAATAGTGGAGAGGCAATGGGAGTGTTAATGAAGAAATATAAATAATTGTTATGACAGCGGGGGCCACGTGACGCCAGTAACACGTCATATTCTCGAACGTTCACGTCCCTTCCTGAAGTCTCCAGAGGTTACTAGATATGCGGTATTCTTGTATATATAAGACCGGTAAGAAGTGATGGCAACAATGTAATGTAATGTGTAATTGAACTGCAGACAGAGATAGATACCGACAGTTGAGTCGAGCATGTGAGACGTTCGTTGTGAATTATAGCGTTTGTTATAGCGCGACTGTGGAAATTAACTGATACTCTCTGGGGCCATTTTGTCTTATTGTGAGAGCAAAATCATTTGTGAATTGAAAAAATGATAGAGAACTTATCTTTTATTGGATTTCAGATTTTATATTTGTAAATAGTAGCATAACATTCAATTATTTGTACAAAATTGTATTATTTAATG